GATGCCGGTGGGGACCGAGCCCCTTCCCCGGCCCTGCTGCCTGCGCCCTGGGGTGCAGCCCCAGGACTTTTCACCAGTTCCTGATAAGGACCCTCATAAACAGTTATCAAGGGCAATGAGTAACCCAGGGGGAGACCAAAGTCCCGGCTGCTGTAGAAAGCAGAGCGGCGATAAGATGCCCAGGCTCTCGCCCCCCTCAGTGGGGAGGGGGCAGTGCTGGCGTCATGGGGCGGGGTGCTCACCAACATCTTCCCTGCAGCCCTCTCTTGGGCAAGGAGATGGACAAGCTGCAGTGGCTTGCTGCCTTCCTCGGGGACAAGCTGGGTGCCTGGGGCAGCACGGGATCCAGGGCTGCACTCCTGCGGCTTCCCCCGTCACCCATGCAGAAGAGCAAGGGAGCTCTCATGCTGGGGGGTACCCGTGTGCCCAGTGTCCACATGGGGGGAGGCAGCTCTGCACACACTCGTGCAGCACCGAGGTCAATGTGGTCTCAGGCAGCAGCCCCTGGGGCAATGCAGCAGGCACGGGCCATGGGCAGCAGCGGGTTGCCTGTGGGTGCATCTCCCCAGGGTGCCTGGCACCATGGGAAACTGGTCCCTGGAGGCATCCTGTGTGCTGTCACCCATTCCTCCAACCCCAAAGCACCAGTGGCATTAGAACAGGGCAGGAAAAGGAGAGCCACACTGGCTCTTACTGCCTTTCCAGCCTTTATTTGTGCAACCTCTCCAGGCAGCAGTGCCCAGCTGAGCACCTGGATGAACCCTTGCCCTTGGCCCATCTGGACACTGTCCCACTGCAGATCCGTGTGCTGGAGAAGCTAGGGGAGCACTGAACCCATAGCCACCCACCCCGGTGAAGTGTGTCCCAGAGCCTATGTGGTATGAGGACAAGGGATGTGGAGGGAGGGATGTCACAGGTTGCCCCAGCACAGACCGGTCCAGCCCAGGGCTCCCTCCACTCCTGAAGGAGTCCAGGAGAGCTCTGTGGTCCCAGAGCGGAGCCCAGCTCCCTTCCTTGCCCAGTCCCAGCCCCAGCCGCGGCAGCAGGCACCTGGAAAGTCCCTGGCTCTCTGCGTGTTTTCAAGACACCGCAGCAGCATCCTCTGGCCAGAGGCCAGCCCCAAATACTGCCTGAGCTGCTGAAGAGGGTCAGGGCACACGTTCCCTTCACAGGCATCAATCTTTGGCAAGACTCTGGTTGCTGCAATTTGCAGCCCGAAGAAAGCAGCGGGCTGAGCAGAGCCTCACTCCAATCCCTCCAGGGAAGGTGGATTGGAGAGGACCCAGGAGGGAACAAACTAAGGGCAGGGGTACTTGGCCATTGCTGTGGCTGAACAACGCAGACACACCTGCACGCCTGATCAGCAGGGCCCCATGGAAACTGGCACGGAGGTCTGTGCCCCATCTCTCCTCCTGCCTCCCTTCCCTCAGAGCCCCCAGTTCACTCCTTCCTCCCCAAGTGCCTTGCTCTATCACCTGTCCCCCCAGCCCAGGGAGAAAGCAGGGAGCTTCTGGCAATGAGAGAGGGGTGAGCACCCCTGTTTGCAGGAGGGGTCACAAGGCAGATCAAACTTTTGGGCTACAGAGGATCTGCCAGTGGTGGGGGGTGGAGGCAAGGCTTTTTAGGGCTCTCCAACACCAGCAGAATCCAGCAGCCATGGAGGCAAGGCTTTTTAGGGCTCTCCAACACCAGCAGCCTCCAGCAGCCACTTGGCCAGGCACAATTTCTTGCATGCACCCACATAAACTTGTTTCTCACCAGCTTGGGCTCCTGCAGCCTCCAGCCTTTTCCCAGAGCTCAGAGGTGCAGGATGAAGACAGACACAGGGAGGGGGACATAACCAGGCAGTGTGCCCCTCTGCAGTGTCTCAGCTACAGGGAGCCCCTTTCTGGCCCCAGGGCCCCTGTCAGACACCGTACAGAGCCTTTGCAACAGGGCTTTGTGCAATGGTGCCTCCAGCTACCCCCATGCTCGGGCAGCCCAGGTCCAGCCCTCTGTGCATCCCTGCGGTGGAGGGACCTCCAGACTGCAGGAAGAGGGGAGGGTGTCCTAGGCAGAGACTACGGTGTCCCCTCACACCAAGTGTGCAAAAACAGTGGGACCACAGCAAAGGTCACCAAACCGCCTTGCTTGTGAGCCTTTCCCAGGCAGTGAAACCACTGTGGGAGCTTGTAGGGACTCACTCAAGCCTCCATCCCAAATGCTTCCCATATTCGCACCCCACACCACAGCACCGGAGCCTCGAGTTCGCCTACAAATTACTTATCTGGCTTCCAGCATCGCAGTTTCCTGGCATCTCACCCCATAATGCCAGGAGATCCTCTCTCCTGACCCCACAGCCCTCTGCTCATCCAGCTCTGGGCTGCCCTTCAGCCCTGCAAAAGCCCCCAGCTCTTCCCCGCTTAAGCAGACGGGGTCTGCTCCCCGGGTGGCTGGGAGCAGAGGCTCCTCGGGTGCACTCACAGACCGAAGGCATCAAGGGGAGCCAACCAGGGGGACTGGGAATTTCCAAATCCTTCTGGATGCTGCCTCCAAGTTAAAGTCACTGCTAACAGGAACAGGGTCGCACAGCTCTGCTCAACCCGCTGACCAGCAAATTCCTTCCTGCAGAGGCCCTGATTCCCAGGACCCAGCACAGAGGTAGTTTGCAAAGCCCAGCGTGGAAAACCCCCATGACTGGGAAGGGGGGCGGGCTGCCTGCCAGGCACACCGTATAGAAACGCCGTATAGTGAAACGGTCCTCGGGAAGCAGGGAAGAATTGCTGGAAACTGGCGGCACACGAGCCGGGCAGGCTCCCCGCTGGCTGCCGCGCCGTCCCGCAGCGTTCGGTGAGAGCCGGCTCCCCAGGCGCCCCCTCCCTGCGCATGGGCACTGGAGCCGGCTGGGCTTGGAGGGGGTTTGCTGGGCTTGGAGAGGGTCTTCAACCAGGAGAAATTTGCCACCCCACCCCACCCGCCCCAGATGGAAATTTGGTTTCCCAGCTGGGTGCGGGTGCAAGGAGTTAATCCTTTGGTTGCTAGCACACCTACAGAACAGCTCAGATGCTTTGGGGCAGGACAGGCTCACTGCTGGAAACTATGCAGGGGGCTAGCGAGCAGGCTGAGAGGGACCCGAGCGGGTCCTGCCCCGTGGCAAGATGCCCTCTTCCTACGGCATCCTCAGCGTGGCATGCGGCGCTGCCCGTAGTACTCCCTCAGACCTAAGTACAAGGAGCCAGGCAGGATGTGTGTTTTGCCTCCCTGTGGAAAGCACGTGGTCAGGGTTGCTCTGCTCTCACCCCTCTGATCCAGGCATTACCCAACACTCAGGATCCTTTGGGCTCAGGCTGTTGTGAGTGTGCTCATTTGTTCACTGCGTCACCAGGAAATATATTCAGTGCTGAAAGGGGTGACGGCTCAGAGCCTGTCCCTCCGTGGCACGGCAGAAGCCTCCATGGGGTGGCCGAGGTTCACGGTGGAAAGGGGACACGGCGAGAGGCTCCTGCTCTTGGCAGAGATGCTAGGCCAGAGAGCAGCAGACACTGCAGGGAAGAGGGGGTCAACGGGTGTTTGCATAACCTTCCAAAAACTGGGCCTC